AAAAAAAAAAAAAAAATCTGAAAACAAACTATGTTATGAAGAAAAATAAACTTAACAACATTTGCCTGGGCACTACATCCAAATTCGTTACCAAATTTGAATTAAAAATCAAATAAAATAAATAAACACTTTGATAAAAATAAGAAGAAATAAAAAGAGAATTAAAATGAGTGAGTGTGCCAACACCTTTTGGACACGGCCATCTTTGCCGATTTTTAATTTTTTTTGGCATTGAAAAATGCCCTGAAACTTTACATAAATGTTGTCTACATAATCAATAACGAATTAAAAACATTTCAAAAAATAGTAAAATTTTTTAGGCCCCGAAACAAAGTGAAAACAAAAAGTTAAAAGTGAAGAAAAACAAAATAGTGAGTGGGTGAGCACGTTTTGACACCCCCATCTTTGACAAATTTTAGTGTTTTTTTGGCTTAGCAGAATGGCTTCAAAATTTATAGCCGTGTAGGTTACATCATAGAGAACTCACAAAAAACAATTCAGTAAAAAAAACTTATTTTTTGGTCCCGAAACATTTTTTGGCGGGGGCCAAATTTGAAGGTGTTCGGCCCCCGAACGGGACCCCGAACGCTCGAACGTTCGAGGGCCAGCCCGTGAGGGCCCCCGAACGTTCGGTAAGGTAACCCTGTATATATATATATATATAGGGACGGGCCGAACACCCGAACCCGAACGCCCAAAATCTAAAACAAAAGATATGTTATGGAGAAAAATACATTCAATAAGATTTGCCTGAGCATTACGTCCTAATTCCTTACCAAATTTAAAATAAAAATAAAAAAAGAATTAAATTTAGTGAGTGCGCGAGCATGTTTTCGACACCGCCATCGTTGGCGATTTTTCTTTTTTTTTTGGCATAGCAAAATTCCCTGAAAATTTACAGATGTGTTCTTCACATAATACAAAACCCACTAAAAAAGTTCAAAAGAAATAATAAAATTATCTAGACCCCGAACTAAAGTGAAAACAAAAAGTCAAAAGTGAAAAAAGACGTGGGCGAGCGCGTTTTGACACCGCCATCTTTGGCAATGTTTAATTCTTATTTTGCTAAGCCAAATGACTTGAAACTCTTATAGGCATGTACCTCACGTCATAGAGAACTCATAAAAAAAAATTCAGAAAAAAAAAATATTTTTAGGCCCCGAAATATTTTTTGGCGGCGGCCGAACGCCGTCGGGTTCGGGCCCCGTACGGGACCCCGAACACCCGAACGTACGGAGGTCCACCCGGGGGCCTCTGTACGTACGGGCTGGTAACCCTGTATATATATATATATATATATATATATATATATATATATATATATAGGATAACCGACGTTCGGGAAGGGCCGAACGCCCGAAACCGAACGCGCAAACGTATGGGACCCCTTGGGGATGCCTTCGGCCGTTCGGGCCGAACGAGGACCAAAAAAAAAAAAAAAAAAAAAAAAATTCATCAAACAAATCATAAAAAACGATATGTTATGGAGAAAAATACATTAAATAAGATTTGCCCGAGCATAACATCCGAAATCCTTACCAAATTTGAAATAAAAATAAAATATGAAAAATAATAAAAATAAATAAAAATAAAAAGAGAATTAAATTTAGTGAGTGCGCGACCATGTTTTCGACACCGCCATATGTGGCTATTTTTTATTGTGTTTTGGCATAGCTTAATGCCCTGAAAATTTACAGATGTGTACTTCACATAATACAAAACCCACTTAAAAGTTCCAAAAATAATAAAATTGTTTAGACCCCGAACTCAAGTGAAAGCAAAAAGTAAGAAGTAAAAAAATACGTGGGCGAGCATGTTTTGACACCGCCATCGTTCGCAATTTGTAATTTTGTTTTGGCTTAGCCAAATGACTTGAAAATTTACAGGCATTTACCTCACGTCCTAGAGAACTCACAGCAAAACATTCAGAAAAAAATAATTATTTTTAGGCCCCGGAATAATTTTTGGCGGGGCCAAACGCTGTCGGGTCGGACCCTGTACGGGACCCCGAACGCCCGTACGTATGGAGGTCTGCCCGGGGACCTCCGTACATACGGGCTGGTGACTCTCTCTCTCTCTATATATATATATATATACATATATATGTATAGGGTCACGGGTGTTCAGGATGGGCCGACCGCAAGTCACCTCTGGGGTTTTCCCCGCAATGCCACAACTCCCCCCCAACTACCTCCTTGAGGACAACAACCAAATCGACCACACGTGCTACGACACCACCCCCGATGACCTCAGCTTCAACACCCTCGYGCAGATCGTTCACCGCGACGGGGAAATTCCCCTTTCCTTCCGATCTGGCGAAATCATGTCCTTCTCCAGCCTCCCCCACGAGGACGTTTTCCTCTTCCTAACCCAGCTTCAGAACTCTTTTCAACTCCACCACATGCCCCTTCACCCACTGGCTCCCCATTGCCACCTCCCGCCTCCTCGATAATGCAGCCAAATGCTGGATGGCTGAAGTTAACAACCGTCGAGCCTCTGGAGGACCACGCCACAACTTCCTCCAATGGGCCACCCTCCTCGCTGCCACCTTCCGCCCCCAGAAAACCATTGACGACTACCTTGAACAATTCTGCCACCTCYGCCAGACCGGTCCCACGGACCGCTTCGTCCAATACGTCCGCTCCCTCCGACACCACCTCCCCCACACCGTCATTCCCGACTGTGCGTTCATCTCCCGCATCAAACGAGTATGCCACAAAGACCTTGSAACCGCCCTCGCCCACGAACCCGACATGCCCCTTGCTGACCTCCTCTCTCGCATGCTCCACCACGATCGACTCCTCCACCCCCACCACCAGGCCCCCCCCGGCACCTCCCGCACCCGCTTTTTCCACCACATCACCCCCGAAGACCACCTCCATCACTTCCTCAGACGAGTTCACCACATCTGTCCCCGATGCATCTTTCTATTCACTCGACTCTTCATCTCTCACTTCCGAGGAACTCGATGTCGTCCAGTTCATGAGAATGGAGCGCAGAGATCGCAGCTCCCGACCACCCTCATCCACCCCACCCTCCCGCCTCAAGAAACTCACCCCCGAGGAGCGCACCTACCTCCAAGCAAAGGGAGTTGCTTACATTGTCGCCAATTGGGGGACCAACAAACCAACTGCCCCAACGCCGCACGATTCACCCGCCAGTCCGCCTCCACGCGACCCGCAACCTCCACACCACCGCCCTCGGCAAGCGCGGGCCCCTCCTCATCATGAACAAAGTCCCCAGGACACTGACCCGGCATCAACATTGCATATGTCGGCCTACCCATTGGTGATATCCTTCGTCGCACCGATGGCCCATCTTACATCGACAATTCATTTGCCTTCCCCCTCTCCGGCGACACCCCCTCCACCGGACGATTCCCAGACGTCGCAAACACCTCCCACTGCCTCATGCTCCTCTACCCTTCCTCCAAATGCGTCCACTATCACCTTCTCCGATGTTGTTGAGGAACAAGCCCGGCACGATCGGCTTGTCCGCTTAGGCAACGAACAACGTCGCCTCAACACCATCATCTCCACCGCCAACTCATCTCGTTTCCACCTCAAATTCATCGCTGCTACSCTTGGTGCGTCTACAACTAAGTTC